CCCCCGCCCCCCCCCCCCCTGAGCCCCGCCGCGCCGGCAAGCGGCCCCTGGGCCAGCCCCGGCCCCGCCCCTCGCGCGCCCTTCGCATCGCCGCCAGTAGATTCGCCGCTTCCGCGCGCCCGCCCTTTATCACTTGGCGGCGAAAGTGCCGGGGCGGAGTCGTAGTCTGCGCGCCGCCGCCATGGATCGGCCGGTCAGGAGGTGGGTGCCGACCCTCCCACCCTCCCTCTCCCGCAGCTCGTGTGTCCCCGGTGCCCCCCGTACTCGGGGAGGCTTTTCAGTCCCGTGATGGGCAGTCGCCCATGATCCGTCTGCGAGCACCGCTTTCCCGCCGTACTCCCGAGGCCTCTCGCCTCCTCGCTCGCCCCGACCGTGTGTGTACCTTGGTTCCTAGCCTGTGCTACGTGGAGCCCCGGTGACACGCGGACAGCCTGTCGGTGGTGCGCGTTAACACATTTATTACAGTTATTTTGTACGACGCGCACTTGCTGGTGGTACCTACGGTTGTATCGTTTTAAATTGGTGGTGCGCAGTTTATCAGAGTTTGGGAACCGCTGCGCTCAAAGACTCGGCAGCAACCACAGTTACTGTGCAGCCATGTCCCCGAGCGGTTCGGGTGCACCGATAGAGAGCCCATGCCGGTACCGATAGCTGATATTTAAGGAGGCGTATTGGCTGATACCGATCCGCTATCTGATGCAACTGCCTCCGGCTGGTAAGTCCGGTGTGGTGCAAGGGGCGCTGGGGGTGGGTGCGGGGCAGAGGTGCAGCTTGTGGGGTGGGGGTAGCTCCTGCCTCTGCTTGCATCCCAGGGGGGCAGGGGTGTGTGCCCCCAGATCTGCACAGTGTGGGGTGGGCTGCAGCTGTGGGGTGGAGCTGGCACTGTGCAGGGCTTTTCTTGCCAGGGGCTGGGCACTGCCAACCAGTGTGGGCCCAGCTTTTGCCAGCACTGGTGGAGGCAGGGCGTCCAGCCATCCTGTGCCGGGCAGTGGTGCAGGGCTGGGAGTGGAGCTGCGCCAAAATTTGGGGTGGCTGGACCCTCCTCCCATTGCCGTTAGAGCCCACTCTGAGCCCAGCCCTTGGCAAGAAAAGCCCTGTGCAGCAGCAGCTCCGGCTCCACCCTGCCGCTGCAGCACACCCCGCACCACTCAGATTCAGGGGCACACCCCCTCCACCCCCACCCTCTCAAGGTGCAATCAGTGACGAGAGCTACCCCCACCCCACAAACTGCGCCTCTGCCCCCACCCCCCAGCTGGGTGGTGCCTGCCCTCTCCCTCCCTCACCACGGAGGCATTGATCTGGCCCCCTCACCCCCTTTCCCTCCCTGCTCCTCTTCTGACTTATCAGCTGGACTTATCAGCGACTGCATGCAGCACAGGCATTTATCAGCCTCATCAGGCCGGTATCCAATATAGACAATTTTCTTTATATCGAAACCGATCCAGTATCGGACCAATGTATTGATGCACCTCTACCGAATGTCTTTTTGGTGACACTGAATGCACAGTAGCTTGTCACTTAAAAGTCTGTCTGTCTGTCTGTCTGTCTGTCTGTCTTTCTCGCGATGATGAATACTGTGTAGGAAGACAGATCCCTGCAGTCATCAGGAACCCCCCTGACATTAGAGGGGTCTTCTGGGCTTCAAGCTTCATGAAGCTTATTGGATGAATGAGGGTCTAAACCTGACGAAAGTTTCAGTTCATAGACGTTAGGGGCTGGAAGGGACCTTACAGCTCATCAGGTCCAGCCCCCCTGCACTTGGGCAGGAAAGACTGCTGGGATCAGATGACCTCAGCAAGGTGGGTGTCACAATGCTTATTGAAGATCACCAAGGTAGGGAGTCTGTTCCAGACCCTCGCCACTCAACTTGTAAAGAAGTTTTTCTTTATGTCCAGTCTGAAGTGATCCTCAGTCAGTTTGTGTCCATTGTTTCTTGTCTTCCCTTGGGGGGCCTTGGTGAACAGATGCTCCCCGACGCCTTGGTGGGCTGCCACCAAGTCCCCTCTGAGTCTTCTCTTCTCCAGGATGAACGGTCCCAAGTCTCTTAGTCACTCCTCATATGACCTGCAGTAAATCTCCTTTCCCTGCCCCCCCCCCCTTCCTTTTTTCTTTGGTCATCAGCAGTGGCGATAATGCTCAGCGAAGGCTGTCTCACCCTGCCTCCTTGCAAGGCAGGGCCTTGATGTGCCATGCTGCACTAGGCTAGGGGACAGAGGCCGCAAGTTGCATGTGTTTTGTGTACAAATAATAGGAAACTAAACGTACTGTGGAAAACACATTGCACATGACTAAATTAAATGAGATGATTTAAAATAGTGGCGTTCAACCTTTTGACTTGTGGGCCAGATAAGTAGTACAAGGCTGGTCCCTGGGTCAGATTGGACCCTGCACAGCAGGATCGAGCCTGCACACCTAGATCTGGTGCCATGTGCTGGGAACGGGCCTTGGAGCCTTGCACCACCTCCGCCTGGTCCCACATGCCAGGATCAGGGACCATGCCAAGTCCAGACAGCATGCAAGAACTGGGGCCCTGCACAGCCCTTTCCTGTCCGCCATGCTGCCTCCACGTGCCCAATTGAGCACACAGGGCCATAGCCTGTGGGGCTCCCTATAGACCTGTGGAGAGTCCCATGGCCTGGATGACACAGAGCCAGGGCCTGGATCTGGCCTGTAGGCCTCGGGTTGAGTACCCTGGATTTAGAAGATGAGTAAGTTTTTCAGAAAAGAATAATTCAGAGAAGTTTACATGGAAGAAACGAAGACGCTAAGCCTCATAAAAGAATGAATTGCCACCAGAAACGCTGACTATCTGGAAACAATGTGTGTATTGAATAGAACTTGTGTTTATATGATAGCAGTAACCAAGCATACATATGCATCTAGGCTCATTTTTATTTTTTTTTTAAGTACTTATTTTTAAATGGAATTTTATGCAGTGCTGAGAGACTTAATTTAACAAATAATTTTGGTACTGAATGACTGATGGAAGTTTCTTATTACAGGAATAAGAAAATTGTTGATTATTCACAGTTTGGGGACTTAGAAAATGATGGTAAGCTGTTTACTATTACATGTACAAAAAAAGGGTTAAGTTTGGAAATGAAAGAGGTCAACCCTTTCATTATTTGTGTTAAAATCAATTGCAAAACACTGTTTGGCTTAACTGGAAGCATATTTCAGGCCTTACTGGAGTGCAATCTATATTTTAAGCAGATAGCACAGCACAATACTGATTTTTTATACTATAGCTCATTCGTAAGATTGGGTTAGTTCAGTGCATGTCAACCTTCTTGTCAGGCATGCCACAAGGTAAGCCTTCACTTTCCCTGAGTACCACTCTGATCCTTTTGCCCTGCCCAATTTGTTGCTCTGTTTTTTGCTCCCTGCCCTAGCTGTGGCTCTGCTTGCTGCTCCCTGCCTTTTGCTTCCTGTGTGATCTGGTCTTGTCACTCCTGCCTGTCCTATCTGCTTCTGTGTTCCCTGCCCCCTCTCTGATCCATCTTATGGCACCCACAGAGGCTGCCCATGTTACTGTGGGTTGGTCACCCCTGGACTAGCACAACCTCTTTTGCAGAAAACCTGCAGGAAGAACCTCAGGGCAGGGGAGCTATGACATCTTTCCTCAGGGGTTGTGACGCATTCCATATTCTTCCGTGGAATGGGACGAACACAGGACCTCCCTGTAAATATCAGGGATCTTAAAAGTCCTGAATCATTAGTGTAAATGTTGAATGCCTCTGCTGCTGCTCTGTATCTGTATTGGTTCTGCCTCAGTCCATAGCAAGCCAAGTCCACACTGCCTCTGAAATTGTAAATACAGCTCTAGCTTACCTTTCCTTTGGATCTGGGAGGGGAACAGTGATGGGTGCCACATATCCTCCAGCTCACCCATAACCTACCCTTCTTCTATACTGGACCCATAGAGAAGTTTCTTCTGGGTTCTGGAGTCAGTAGGAAAGAGATGGTGTCATAAAAACTACTGAACCTTCCCTTACGTGGGAGGTAGGGGAGACAGTGTTGGAGATCACTGCCATGTGTATAGTCCTTTCCACTGCCATTTGTTCAGGGGTTTGAATTTGATATAGACATTTTCTGTAGCTTATTATACTTGAGATATAAGTATTGAGCCTCAAAGAACTTTTGTTAAAGTTCTTTTAAATATGGGGGTAAGGTGTATTCGAGGAAGGCAAAATCTTTAATTTTTAATGTTCTTGTAGAGAGCAGTTGTGCATCATGCTGAGATAAAAACTGTCTATATCACCTTTGGCTTGCACTTTGACCCTTAGTATCTGTCTTCCATTACACCTACCATTCTTTGTTCTGATTGATTAGGTTTATGACTGATTTTTCTTTATGAATGAGCCTGTGATCCTTTTAAAAATTGGAATAACTAAAAGGAAGGGCCCTAAAAATAACCAAGAACTGTAGCAGTGGTTTATGTTGAGTGGTTCTCAACTGTCAGAAATCCTTGAAACTCATAGTATTGAGAATTCTGGTAACATATTTGAAATTGCACCCATCTTCATATTCAAAACAACTAACTTGAATGTAACTTAAATTGAATCAGAAATATATTAATAAGGGGTTGCTATGATTATGACCTATTATTATCTTGAACCTTTTGGTCAAGAGTATCCTGGGGCCCATTTCAGCAATATCTGTTTTCTGTACTGATACCGAAAATCGATTTAATATTTTTATAAGGGTTTATAAGAATGTATCTTTTTGGAATAGTGACAATTTTCACCAAAAAAAAGTTTTTAAGGAAAGAGGCTCTCTTTCCTGGTAACTTGGAAGAATTTGCCTTGCATAGGGAAACGTATTGGTACCTTGCATATGTTTCCTTAAACAGATGAAGACTTTGCCTCTATCCCTGCACCTTTAAACAAAAAATCCAAAAAAGAGCTCAATGATACAAAAAGGGAGAAAAAGGAGAAGCAGAAAAGGCCACAGAAAGAGGTGACTTCATTGCAGACAAAGACATCAGGTAAAAGGTGAGATATGGCTAAGTATAATGAATCCTGTTTGGTTTCTTTATTTCTTGGCTTCTGATTTTTCAGAAAGACTAGATCTTTATTAAACTAACACTTTTAACTACCTAAAAATATTGATTTTCATATTTATTGCTATACTCATGAGAGAAGGGTCATCTCTGCATGGCCACAGCAGTCTGCCCAGATGGATCCAAATGAAGTTTGGAACCTAAAGTAGAAATGTGACCCTGTTGGCATTTCTGGAGCACTCGTTAGTATGCTGCATGCTGTTAACATGCAAGTGGTCCACAGGCTTGCTACCAAAAGTGGGAAAATGTAAAAAAATGGAATAATTTGCGCTTTACTTCATCAGGAGTTCATGTGTAATCATTTAACAGAAAATCTGAAGTAAATATTAATAAGAACCCAACAAAAACTTAATTATTTATGCTCACTTTAAATAATATATTTCACCACAAAAAATGTAGGTGGAAGTATGTTTCAGTAGGATATTCTGTACAAATGAAGTAGTTTTTCCAGTGTGTGGGCACATCTATATGTTCATTAATGTGCCATAATTACAGCGCATTAAGTTTAGTACCTGTAATTACAGGTACTAAATTAAAGCGCCATAATCGGCACGCACTTTTTTGTGACACTAATGTGCAGGAAAATTAGTCTACTACACCTTTAGCATTTCATGTAGATACACCCTGTTACTGATAATTAGTTAATATATCTGCAATACTTTAAAGTCCTAAAGTATTCCATTTTAAGTAGAACCTAGATATTTTATAGGGTTAGTTTCCTTAGTCCCTGAGAAGATGAGGATTTGCAAACCAGCTGGGTTATATACAACCACAAGAAACAATGCACCAGCTAAGTGGAGAAGCAGTGTCCACATTGTGTTAAGTATGATCTATGTTGGCGGCTCCCCCACGGGTCAGAAACTTGGCAATGGGGAGCACTGGAAGCTCTGTGTGGCCAGCTCCAGCCTCACCCAGGCCATTGCCCATGCAGTGAGATCAGGGCCCAGCTGCCCCTTGTGTGTCCAGGACAGGCTGGGCTGTTCCCCCCACCCACCTGCATGCTTGGATTGGGGTCCCTCCACCCCACTGCCCCCCCTCCCCCTTTCCAGATCTGGACCAGGCTGCTTCCCACCCCCTTCCTGTGTTGGAATCAGGGCTGCCCTGTGCTACCCTTACCCCCCCCTTCCCTGTTTTGCCTATGCATCTACAGTGGGAGTAGGCTGCTTCGTCCCACCTCCCCAACCCCAACCTCCCTGTCATCCAGATCATAGTTTCATAGTTAATAGGGTTGGAAGGGACCTGAGCAGATCATCAAGTCTGACCCCCTGCCAAGGCAGCGAAGAGTCCTGGGGTCAAACAACCCCAGCAAGGTGATTGTCAAGCGTTGTCTCAAAGACCTCCAGGGTAGGAC